CGCACTCCCGCTGGGGAGGAAGGAAGGCACCTTCAGCTCCCTGGGACACACACTGCCGCTGGGGAGGAAGGACGACACCTTCAGCTCCCTGGGATACACACTGCCGCTGGGGAGGAAGGACGACACCTTCTGCTCCCTGGGGTACACACTGCCGCTGGGAAGGAAGGACGACACCTTCAGCTCCCTGGGACACACACTGCCGCTGGGAACCCTCGCAGGACCAGTCTAGGAGGTCCGCTACCTCTGGTACCGCTGGTTGCTGTTGGGAAAAAGGACCGGCTGTCTCTTCCCGGGCCTCATTGATGAGTCGCAGGTAATCCCACTCCAGGTTCCATTCATTGGTGACCAAATACTGTATGTCTGCCTCGAGGTCAATAGCACTAGGGAGCCCCAGCATGTCTTCTCGGTCGTAACACAGGTCCCAAAAACGAGAGTCAGTAGCTTTCCCAAAGTCCTCATCATTAATATTGTCCCAAAATAGGCCAGGGCCAGCGTAACCTCCGCCTTCTGGGAACTCATACTCTGCCAACTTGGGGACACACTGAGCTGTGTACCACTGTATCGCCTGGTATGCGTCGTCGAGCGCCAGTTCTGCATATACTAAAATCTCGAGTCTAATCACCCACGCTTCTTCGGTCTTTTTCTTCAGGAGGTGCATCCGCTCTGCCATTCGAGCCAGGATTCGCTGCCTTCTGCTGTGGCGCCGATCCCCTCGCGAATACTGTACTTCCTCTAGGGCTTCGTCCCACAACTCAGTTCTGGCACTCTCTCTGTATCTCAACATGTCTTCCTCTGACACTGCTCCTGACCTCAGGGATACGTAACCGTACAATCTATCTTGCAACTTCTCCTCCATTTTCTGAGTTCCTTCGTAGATAGGGGCGCTGTACGGGTACTGGCGTTGCCCTCAAATTGTAACTCCAAACGAACTGTGTCTCTGAGCTGCTTTACCTCGCACTAGGATGCCATCCCACCGCTTGCCACCAATGTAACGGATCACCTGGCACCCCGACTGGGTACCTCCGTTGAAGGATGCTCCTAGCGCTTCCTGAGGACTCCAAGCACTGCAGCAGACACCAAAACCACCGAACCGTAGGAGCATATGAATGCTCTCAAGCATATGAATGCTGTAGACAGTTGAATAGGAACCATACGAATAGGTTTACTCTCCTAGCAGTCAAACTGGAACAGCATACAATAAATCCTTCCCCAATAATGAGACGACACTTCACTTTGAGGGTTAAAACAGGAACTCCCTGTACTGTCACATACAGTCTCTTTTATTCCCAATCCACAAACATGGTACAGCCCACAGGGCGTTACAAAACAGCCAATCAATCCATACAATACACCTAGACACTCCCACACAAAATCCTCCCCTCTGGCTGTGATATGATTACTGAACACAATGGGTAATCTAATTATCACAGCCAGAGAAATACAATTTCATAAAACACATCACAGGGACCCCAAAACATGCAATAACCCCATATATCCTTGGAACTGGGGGATCTGGGTGAACCACATATCCAAAATTCACCCAGATCCGTTCAGTACTTTGGAAAATACAGTTTAATGCAGATTCTGCAGAACATATACAGGCTAAATAAAAACAATCACTGTATAATGTGTCCCCTGCTGTATAGTCCAAAACCACTGCACGATGTCTCTGTGCACCAAATACTGGCGAGATGGCACCGTGTTGAAAAGTCCAAACAGTGTCTGTGAGTTAAAATGGCCACCATCCATTGTTCTTACCATGTGCTTCTGATACAGGAAATGGTGGTGGCTACCCAGTAACTCCACA